CAAGGTTATGCTAACCATAATATTTGTTATTTCTTAATTTGTTAAATTTACTTTTATATGGTCAAATAACATGGTTAAGCTAACATGGTTACCATGTCAGGCAGACATAGCCCAGATTCTTAATTCTGGCTGTAAAACAGAAACAGAATAGGAGTGTGAAATAAGAGTGTGAACATTGTGTGTGTGTGAGGAAGAAACAGAGGGAGGAATCTAACAGAAACTTCATGACAGTATTGGCAGGGGCCATTTCTTTCTTTGTTTCATAATTTTATTTTCTCTCTTTCTGCTTTCCTTTAGTGGGGTACTAGGAGAGGGGCAAATAATTCTTGCCAGAAATCTGAAATGATAGTCTGTAAAAAAAAATTGGAATTAGGTTTTGAATGGGTTTATTCATTATGCTAAGCCTTAGTTGGGTTTTTATGTGAGCCATTCCACCTATGGGACTGTGCCAGTTTAAGATTGGTGTTTCTCCTTCCTTCCTCTTTCATGATAATTTGTGGCTTCCATAGAATTGAGAAACCAACCCACTCCAGCTTTGTTCCAGAGGAAATACTACGAAGATGGTTTAACAGTGTGTTTCTGGAGCAAGAGGCAATTTCTGATTAGCTGGAACACCCATCTTGTTTAACTTTGGGATCCCTTCCTGCACATTTATTTATTTATTTATTTATTTATTAAAATTTATAAATCGCCCCACTCCCGCAGGACTCCGGGCGGCTAACAATAAAAACACAATATAACTTAACAAGACAAACAATACAGTAACATTCATCCAGAGGTCAGATTTTATAAACCCCAGGCCTGCCGGAAAAGCCAGGTCTTAAGCAGCTTGCGGAAAACTAACAGGGTGGGAGCGGTCCTAATCCCCGGGGGGAGCTGGTTCCAAGACGTGGGTGCCATCACAGAGAAAGCCCCCCCCCCGCGGCCCCGCCAAATGGCACTTTGCTACTATCCCACCAAATTTTGCTGCTTCACTAGGATACGAACTGATTGCTGCTTTAAAACTGGTTTTTATTCACCATGAAAAGAAACTGGAAGGAATCCTGGTTGGCTCAAGGAGGGAAAAGTAGTAATAGCTGCCAGGTGCAGCATAGCAGCATGAAAATATTGTTTCTAGTTGCAAGCAAGTGGGGAATAAAGCCAGCAGCTATGTGCATAGGTTTTTTTGTGTTATATGAATCTGGGCATGTGATTCATTCAACAAACCATACTTAAACATACCATGGCTAACCAAAATGTATGGTCCCAACTGAATTCTTAAGAGTTTTCATTTTTCAGGATGTAATTGGACAGCCATTTCTGAAGTTGCTTTTTTTGTATAGAGAAATGACTTCAAAGAAGATTTTCTGCTAAACGTTTCCAACCTAATAAAGATAAAGGTTTTCACTGTCCAGATGTGTCTGACTCTAGGGCAGTGTTTCCCAAACTTGACAATTTTAAGGCATGAGGACTTCAACTCCCAGAATTCCACAGCCAGCAACGCTGGCTGTGGAATTCTGGGAGTTGAAGTCCACATGCCTTAAAATTGTCAAGTTTGGGAAACACTGCTCTAGGGTATGCTGCTCATCTCCGTTTCTTAGCTGAGAAGCCTGTGTTGTCCAAAGACATTTCCATGGTCATGTGGCCGAAGTTCATGAAACGCTGTTACTTTTCCACCAAAGTGGTATCTATTTATCTACCCACATTTGTATGCTTTCAAAATGCTAAGTGGGCAGGACCTGGAGCTCACCTGGTCATGCAGTTCTCAGGTCTCAAACCCCGGCTATCAGTTTTCCAGCTGACAAGCTCAGCATCTTTAACCACTGAGCCATCTCACCTCTTTTTTTCCCAATCTATTTTGTTAATAATAATTTACTGAACTCACTAAACCTTTCAGCTGGTAATTCTTGCAAATTTTAATGTAGCCTTGCACTTTGTGGCTGAGCGTTGTGAAACTGACCTGTTCTATGCTTGCATCTACTGTAAATAGAAAGTGTGGAATATTGCTTCACAATAATAGGATTGTTTTGCTGCCTTTGAAATATACAGATGCTATAATTCTCTGCAAGGAAGTGGGTAGACAGAAAAACTCTTTTGCATGCAAATATTCTATACATGTTAATTGAGGTGGTGGTGAAGTGTCAGTCAAAAACATTTGGATAAAATGTCATGGTTGTCTAAGAAAATCAATTAGTTGCTTCTGAGTCTCTTAAAAACCCTCCAAATGTCTTAAATGCCTAACCCCTCTTGGACATTTCTTTTTCAAAGATACATTACATATATAACACTGGGAATTTAATTCTAAAGTTCTGCATCAACATGTAGCAATCTGAGCCACAGATTGTACAATCACATTGGCCAATTCTTTTCAAGTGTTTTACTTTGATGAGAGCTATTTTAATTCTTATCTTATCCTTACTTATCTATATGTATTATTAAGTATGAACATTTTATAAAAGTGTGAATTGGATATGTCAGGAGGAACATAAAAATGGGATACTGTGGGAGTGGATTACATAAGAAATATATGTGATAAACTGAGAAGGATCAAGATTCTGGCAAAAAAAATCACTTGATACTGTGTCTGTTTGCACAATTACATACTTGTACAAACAGAAGATATCCATACAACAGTATATTCCTTCCTATATTGGTCTCCTTAGCCAGCTGTCATGTTGATGGGTGGTAAAATGGCTTATATGTCTTAATTTCTCCTGAGTTTGCTTTTTCCAAATGTAAATAGTGAAGAAAGTCAAAGTATACACTGCAATGTATACACTATACACCCTGTATACAAAGTATACACTGCAATATACACACAAGAGAATTTAGAGGCAATTTATTTTATTTTATTTTTTTATAATGATCATTATACTGGAAAACCTTTTTTACTTAATGTAAAATGCTGTCTTTTTTGTTTAGTCTGATTCTTTTTTAAAAAAATAAAATCCTGGGAGTCATTCTCTGGAAACTGTGAATTTTGAGATGAGGGATAGGAGGGGTTATGGTAACCTATTAGGGAAAGAAATCAGAACATCTTCAGAGACATTATATTGTTTATTTTCAGTATTAGAACACTTAGGTTATAATGCAATGGTCAGCATGTTTCCTCAGAAGGAAACCCATGTGTTTACTGTTCCTTATTTCTTGAGTAGGGTTGAAGAGATGTATATTAGACTGGACTGTGTGTGTGTGTGTGTGTGTGAAAGAGATTTACTTTGGTGTAAGGGAGACCATAGGGTTGGCCAGCAGCCCTGGCCTAGAGGAGGCTGTGTTACTTGCTCAGATTCATCTCAAGGGATCTTTTGTACAGCACAGTCCTCACTGGTATGGAAAGGAGTGATTTTGTATATGTTCCCTTCTATTTAATTATCAGGAGGGATAGCTGAATTTCACAGATGTTATTTCGGACCAAACATGCTAGGAAACATCCAGAATTCAAAATGAATTCTGTTGCTTTAAGTCTGGCTCTAATCTAACTAATTTTGCTGTAACTATTACTAATACTTCTATTTATTCTGCTTACAAAATACTTTTTGATTAATATATTTCTGAATACAACTATTCTATGTAAGTGAGCCCTTGATACTGACTTTAAAATATGCTTCTACATTGGAGGTATAGTAGAAGGTTTCACTGTAATGATTCCGAGGCTGTGGAATGATTTCACTGCTGAGATTCATTGTTGCTCTCCTCTTTTGACTTTCATTCAAATCATGGACAACTGAACAGCTGCTAGAAATGTAAAATATTTTGCAGATTTTGGGAGGAAGTTAATCTTTAGTTGTTGCTCTAAGCAAACTTTATTTACTTTCTAAAAATGGAAGGTAAATATTTTTTTAAAACTAAAAGTGGGCTGATGGGATTTGAACCAGGTTTCTTATTTATTGAAGAAATGCTGTAAAATGAAATAGACCAAATACAACTGTGTGTCCAATATACTAAATCATTTATTGAGCTGACTGCTCTGAGAAACATTTTTTTCCTTCCTAATGTTTTCTCACAAGTGCTTTGTGTGTGTGTGTGTGGGGGGGAAATCAACCCATACTGATCCATTCAGGGATTCACTGACTGGCACAAAATTACCCAATCAGTTTCCATGTGTAAGGCAGGATTAGAACTCACAGTCTCCTGATTTCTATCATATAAGTCCAACAAAAAGTATAGCATTAAAAAAAAAAGTGTAGAGAAGTATAGCGTTAACATGAGAGTCTATGTCTACTTCAAAGCATCTTTTCAGCTTTGGATCTGAAGCACTATAACTCCCCTATACTGTAGAAGTGATTCGCCTTCTTGTAGAATATTTCTTTAGATGTCCAGTCTAACATATAAGCCTGCAATTTCCAGGCAATTTCATTTTCAGATATGGGTAGTCTTCAACTTACGACCTCAAGCCCAAAATCTCTGTTGATTTCTAAATGAAACAGTTGTTAAGTGAGTTTGGCCCTATTTATGACCTTTCTTGCCACAGTTGTTAAGTGAATTACTGTAGATGTTAAGTTATAATACAGTTGTTAAGTGAATCTGGCTGCCCCCTTTACTCTGTTTGTCAGAAGCTTGCAAAAGGTGATCACATTAACCCAGGACACTGCAACTGTCATAAATGAGTCAGTTGTCAAGCCTCCAAAACACTGGTTTATGGGTTTCAGAGTTAAATAGAATTGCCTTCAGGTCACATCCTCAGCAAATGGCAGCACTGAAGTGACTAGGGCTGATCTTAGTGGATTTTGTGCAAAAGCCACCAGGATAGCTAGAATCTAGACTTCTACACTATATTAAGAAGTCGAAAGATAACTGGGGGGGAAAAAGCAATGGCAAACCACTTCCATATATAGTTGTTTGGAAAAATCTACCCAGGAATGCTTTTACTCCCAGCCAGAAAGGATCATTCCACATTCTGGGAGGCCTTTAGCAGAAGAAAGTTCTGTAGAGTTTCGAAACTTGGTAAGCCCCACCCACCTCCCAAAGCGCGGGTCAACATTTAAAGCAACCCCACGAAGGGACAAAAAACTCAGTGACAACTTTACAGAATCAAGGGGAGTCTGGCACCTGAACTCCTTAAAGGAGGCGCATCGCCAAGTATCCGAGGCAGGGCAGCGCTCCTATTGAACTTGGGGTGGGATTTGCCACTTCGTCGTCTCTTCCCCTCCCCCGCCGCCGCCGCCGCCGCATTTTCTCCTCCTCTCCCCTTTCCTGAAAGTCGCCGAGCTGCTTTGCGTGTCAACCGAGGACCGCGCCGGCAGAAGCAGGAACGAACGGAGATGTCAGTAGCAACCCCTGCCTGACGCGCGGTGCCGCTGCTGCTCAGGCTCTCTTTGCGAGCGGCTCGGCTCCGTGCATGGCCACCCGAGCGCTCGCTGCCTGCCCGGATCGCCCTTCGAGCCCCTAGGCAGCCCGCGCCCCGACTCGGCGGGCAGAGAAGAAGCGCCGCCGCGGCTCCTGGCGCCAGCAGGTAAGTGAGGAGGCGCCGCCCGTCTGCCCGCCCGCGTTTTCCAGGTGACTTGCAGGGCACCGGTCCGCGGCTGGTCGGATAAAGGAGCCATCGAGGAGAGGTCCGAAGGAAGGGGAGCTGGGAATGCCCTAACAGCCAGCCAGAGGAGAAGGAGGAGGAGGAGGAAAGTTCATCATGCTTAGGTGCTGGGAAGTGAAGCAGGGAAGGAAGTCCGGATAGTGGCCGAGCAAGCGTCGGGCGGGAAGGGGGAGCCAAAGGATGGGACCCGGCTCAGAGGCAGAAAGAAGGGAGCGAGGAGGGACCCGGGGCAGGAGCCGGCAGCCGGGCGCTTTCTAGGGTGGCGACAGGGAGAAAGATTCCAGAGGGCAGAGTGGAGAGACTAAAGAAAGTCTATGGAGATTCTCAGTCATCCAGGTCAGGGTTGTCCCAAAGGTGCTTTTTTTCCATGAGGCAACCGGACTGGAGAGAAACGCTGCAAGGGCCAAAGAAAGTGGGAAGGGTCTGACTGATGGTTTCGCTTGTGGGCTCAAGAGGAGGGGAGAGAGAGAGAGAGAGAGAGAGAGAGAGAGAGAGAGAGAGAGAGAGAGAGAGAGAGAGAGATTGCCTCCAGGTACCGAAGGAGGAAGGTCTCTTTTTATGCAGCTATTCCAGCTCGGTGGCTAGCGGGAGACCAAATCCTCTCGGGCTCGGCGTTTTTACTGAACAGGTCTTTCGGTCGCTCGCTCGTTCTCTCTCGCTCTCTCTCTTTCCCCGATGGGCGAAGGTGGGAAAACGCCGAGCATGGGACCCCGCTTGATTCACAATGTGGGGAAGGGAAGAAAAAGACAGATGCGGGAGGCAAGGCGTTCCCGTGCTGAAACATTTTAGCCCAGGGAGGAACATGGACGTGCACAGATTGGTGGCAGAAAGGAGGATCGGGCAGGAGCGAAGCCTGGAAAGTGTGTGGAGAGGAGACGGGTTAATTAAAACCGAGCCTTGGTCTGTCCGTTTGTGAGCTGAGCCTCCTTCATAGTCAGCTCTTCCCATTTAAGAGGGGAGAGACTTCCTTTCTGGAGTAGAATCAGAACTTGTAGGATCCGGTTATTTTACTTTACCCGGTAGCTTATCCCCCCCCCCCCGAAATTAAAACAGCAGGTCTCTCCCTAAACAAAGTATTTTCTAGCTGGTAATAATTGATATTATGCAATGGTGTGGAAGTTAAAGTGGATGGTGATGATGAAGATGATGATGACAACGACTATGATGATGATGATGATGATGATCATATAAATCTACTAGCATATTACATTTTCAGTCAGAAATCAGAAGTTCCACTCTGCATACAGGGCAGAGTGTACAGGGCAATAAAAAATTGAACTTAGTGGGTCAGACTTCTAAGGAGATGTGCATTAGATTGCACTGGGAGACAAGGAAGCTGAAACAAATGGGATAGAAGCCATTGTGGAAAAAAGAGGAAGAAAGCAGGATACAGGTTCTCTTACACAAAGCATATAGTAATACTTTTTTTTTAAAAAAAGGATATCTGTAAAACAATTGCATGTCTATACTTTGCCATCGTTCATATTTCATCTACTGTATAGATGAATTACTATTATTAGCTTTTATTTCATATGCCCTGGAGCCCAGTCAGAAAATGACTGTCCCCATTTTATAGAAGAGGATCAAAGATCAAAGAAAATTATTTGCCAACAAAATCCTTTCACACATTGTGCATTTGCAAACTTAAATCTAATAATTGTGCACCCAAAAATAATTGCCTGGCATTTCTGACAAAAATTGAATAGGTTTTGTTTTTGGGGGAGATTACATACAGTATGTTTTATTGGCCACATTCAGATGCACAAAGCCTAATTTAGGAATTCAAAAAATGTCTCAACTCCTCCTTTTCTTTCACTTTGTACAAGCAGAGAAAATCTCAGAAGCCACAGCTAATATAGCTTTACTTTACATTTTGTATTGAGTAACTATGTTTATGGATTTACAAAGCAAGTAAAAAAGGATATGAGCCCCTGAGGAGTTGCTGACATAAAAAGCAATAAGTTAAATATTATATCAGGTCTCAGATCCTGAATTGTTGTTTCTTTTACAAGTCAGATCCCATAACAAACTATAAATTATTATTTCTAGATAAGAGAGACAAGCTAGAATTTTCGGCTTCCATTTTTATCAACAAATTTGCTTGTCAACTAGAACTTTGCTGTGACATTCTATGCAAATGTGATATGTATGCATACTTAAATACGAAATCTGATTTGGCTGATCTTCATTTCATATCTTCAGGGTTTAGAGCTGCATACTACTTACTGGAACAGTTAGAATGGAAGTCAGGGAACTGTAGGAGTTATGTACACTTCATCTGCGTGGAGGCATTGCTTAGCGCTGATATTGTAAATATTGTGTATCCACCTGTCCTTTAGCCTTGTGAAGACAAAAAGAGTGGGTGTCCATATTGCTGTGTAATGACTGCTTGTAAAGTGTAATTTTCTTTTAGGTTTTATATTTGTAATATATGAAAGAACAAAGATGCAAATTATACTTGCCATATTCTTTAGGCTATATAACCAATAATATGTAGAGGGTGTGCCACAAAGAGACTGGCATTAACAATCCTTGGTAAGAAATAAATAATTCAGAATTCATATGACCTCAGGTGCCACAGCAGGATTCAGAAGAGGATTTCTGAATACTTTTCAAAGCTAGATATTTGTGAAACCCATTTCTTTATTTTTCTTGCGTATTCTTCTTTGTCTTTCTTTGCTCTCAGGTAGCTTCTTCAGATAGTCCGTGTCTTTAATATCTTTGTCTTTCTGAACAGAGTTCTTGTCCCTCCTGGAAAGTTGAGTGAACTGCTGTCCATTATTGATTGGCAATGGATTTATGTTGACTAGTTTATGCAGTGTTATTTCATCCTCTTGAAAGTAGGGAATGTGGAAAAACAACTGTACACATAGTAATTATGCACATATATTTTACTCTCTGTAGTCTTCCTTTGCTTCAACATACTATACATGTATATCAGATGGCACATCTTTTTCAGCTCTCTAATGAGAGTTACATTGGAGATAACTTGGCATAACCAATGGTTTGAGCTAATGTTCTACACTAGAACCTTAAGAGAATCTATTTCCCATAGCATACATATGGAGGGGTTATTTTTTCCCCATTCTTCAGAGATGCCACTTCAGTACAGCAATATTTTCTTTGCAGTTAACTTGCTGGTGTGAAAAAGCTAGCTTTTTTTTTTAACATTTCCCAATCAGGTTGACAATGTCACACCTACATTTACATTTATAGAAATAATTAATCTGCTGTGCCCTAGAAAACTGACAATGTACATATTGAATTTAAGGTGTAAGTACTTACCTGTGAAACCTTGGAGACTGATAGTGAAAGCATCATAAGAATGTTCACAATGAGTATATTTTTGTATCTTCCTGTTAGGAAAAAAAAGTCAGCATTTCCCTTTGTGGTCACAAACTTAGGGTTGTGGTTTTAAAAGTATGTTCCCCCCCCCTTCTGCTGACATCCAGGATCTCTTTTTCTTGTTTCTTAGACTAGAAGCAGATGATTCATTTTTCACACAGCTGTAGGTGGTATCAGTGAGCCAGGCTGGCTAAGTTATTTCTTTTTGTCCCACTGTTTTAGATATTTGAAACAGCACACGAAACTTCTTTATAGTTTTTTTTTTTTGAAAGATAGCTGAGCTTGAAACGATAAAGGTGTGATTTAAATAATAATGCCACGATTTACAGGAAAAATATCATACTCAGAGTCTCTAGATTATTCTAGCTACTTTAGTAGTTTCCCTGAACTTCATTGAAACCTTCCAAATGCAAACTCCTATTACTGAAACAGATTTGTGTGTAACACATGCACTCTTTTCACTGCCATCTATCTTATCTTCGTTCCTCATGGTACGGATGCATTCTTTTTTAATTTACCAGCATTAAAGGCAACTTTAATTTTTCCTATCCTTGAAAAAAGAAGGAGGCATGGGTATTTTAAAAATTAATATTATAATTTAGAAAACATCGTTGGATTATAGGAAGGGAAGAAATTTTAGAAGTCTCCCAATCCAATCCCCTGCTTAGGGCAAGAATCCTCATAGCATCCCAGAAATGGCCTTAAATAGGTTAAGCTGCCCAACTGGAAGCCTAGGATTTGGTTCTCCCATCTTCTTCCTTATATATATACAATGAGAAATTTAAGGGTACATTCAACATTTTATTTTTTACATAAACTTAGGAAGCTTTATCTGTATGTGTTAGCCATGTATTATATGATTACAGACTTCCATCTTGTTTAATCCAGCAGTAACTATTTTGACACACAGTATCACACCAAAGACTTTTGCTTGAGATACACTAGGAATTATGCTATAAGTCTGATAGTACTTATATTTATGAAATGAATTAAAATATGTTCTTGTTTAATTGAAAGTGCTATATGTTTGATGATATGACTTATGAAATTTATATACTGCCTTCTTCCAGGCACTCAAGGCAACATATATAACACCTTTAACTGCCCAAAGGTTGCTGGGAAGAGCTACAATCTGTGAGTTAAGAAGGAGGAGGGTGGAGGAGGAAAGCAGTGGCCGCGAACCTAAAGGCGCGCAAATCATACAACTAAAAATCAAAAACAGCAGCAGTACATTCAGGGCATGTGCATCTGAGACTCCTTTTATCTCAGAATGTCTGGCTTAGTTCAGTACAATACTTGCTTTGCAGTTATCTTTCGCAGTACTCTTTTCAAACTTGGAAACTGTCCTATTTGTAAACAAATCACTAGTCTACAAGGACAGATTATTTATCTAGGGTCTGTAATCTGTGCTCTTCAGGCAGAAGTTAGGTGTCTGGTTCAGCCCTTCTACTCTATTGAGCCTCCGTATCGGCTCCCTCTACCACAAAGATCCTGCAGGAAAAGGGCAGTGTGGACCACCATGGGATCTGGCAGGGTGAGAGCTGTGAACCATAAATATAAAGCTTTTGCTGTGTCCC